CCCCAAAACCCCAAAACCCCGAATTGCAGTAAAAAGTAGAGATGAAAAGGACATATAACAATTTCAAATTTAATGAAAAATAATTTTCTCACGTGTTTTTAATTATAGTATAAAATATAAATGAATAAAAGCTATTTAGAACATATATAAACAGCATCAATCTAAAATAATGAATTGGAGACGCATGATCACTCATAAGACACTTCCAAGGAACCCTAATTTATTCTAATTCAGGGATTAGGACAACTAGATCAATATATCAAAGATTAGCAAGATAAAATAAGTGTGCTAACGTTTGATAAGCAAGGAAATTATCTTAGTATAGGTGACTCATTTGGGTGAGTTGTCATCTTCAGATATATGAATGAAGGTAACTCAGAATCAGATTCACCAGATGGTGCTAAATATCCATCACTTCAATTCTTGACTGAGTTTCAGTCTCACGAACCAGAATTCAACTTTCAAAAGACTCTGGAAATCTCTGAGAAGGTCACAAGTATAGAATGGATAAATCTGGGTTACAATGGCTTTAATCCCTAGCTTATTACCACAAATGACAAAGTTATTAAGCTCTTTCAAATAAAAACTAATAAATACCTAGATATAATAATAGAGGAGGAAGAGGCCAAAGATTTGGATGGGCATATGTCATCAGTAAAGTAGCTAGAGTTACAGAATTAACTTATAATCCCAAGTTTCCCAAAGTAAAAGAAAATGGATTAATTAGATGAAGGCATAAAACTGAGAAACACTTACATAAATGGTCATTCGTATCATATTCATTCAGTTTCGTAGAGCTATGACTAGGAATGCTTTCTGTCTGCTGATGACATAACAATTAATCTCTGGAACATAGAGGACAAAAGTAAATCTTACAACATTTTAAATATTTAACCTGCGAATATCTAGGATCTATAAGAGGTGATTACTCACGTAGAATTTCATCCAATCAAATCTTTGGAATTTATTTATTCTTCCTCCAAGGGTTATTTTAAAATATGTGACATGCGAACAAATATGAATGTTTCTGATTCCAGCATTACTATCAATACTACTGATGAGGTAGGTCGTGCTAATGAATATTCAGAGATTATCAACTCATGCACATGGGCAAGTTTTGTAAAAGGTGAATCTTAATATGAGGCAATAAGCAGAGATTTTTGCTCTATTAAATTATGGGATATTAGGATGCCAAATTAACCAATCAAAAAATACTTGGTGAATGATTATGTAGAGGACAAGCTAGCCCAGCTTTACTCAAATGACTGTATTTTTGATCGCTTTGACTTGAAGCAGAATTACACAGGCAACTTGCTTTCAACCGGAGGATATAATCGTTCGTTTTAAGTTATAGATCAGCACAATAATTAGAACGTGACACTCTTGGCCAATGCAGAGATGAAACGATTCTAATCTAGTCAGATAGTGAGAAAATATTAGGATCAGAGTGGAAAGTTATCATCTCCACTTTGGGAAGGGCAGTCTATTAATTTTGATGAGAAGGTTTTGCATACTAGTTGGCACCCACATGAAAATAGATTAGCGGTTGCCAGCAGCAGCTGCATTTTTCTTTACTCTTAGTGATCCTATATAAATATTAATTCATTTATATTATTAAATAGAATGCTGCGAAGCAGAAAATTTGATTAATGTACATTACTCTTACAATTAATCTTAAATTAGCATCGTGGGGTTTTGGGGTTTTGGGGTTTTGGGGAGATCGGAAGAGCACACGTCTG